TTATATGGTAAGGTATTTCGAAGGGTCGATGGTGCGTCACGGTTTTATCGCTAACCGTCAGTTTTTTATGACACTTAAAATAAACATGGAAAGTTCTAGAATCTACACGTAGCAACTAGACTAAGCTAGACGATGGTCACACAAATTCCTGCGGATGCATTATTGATAAACTATACTTTAGAAAGCAGTTTTTCTTATAAGCAGTCCTTTTCTTATAAATCAGTAGGTAGATTTTTCATTCGATTTTTATTAAATATTGATCAAATATACTTAATTTAAAATATACTTAGAGAACAGTGCAGAAATTTCCAGTCTGGAAGAAAAATGCAATTGTCAATCAAAACCTGAATAAACAACCCTGATAAGAAACCACAAAATTATGTGACAAAATCTTGCACTAAAATTGTAATTTGCAATTATACAGACATATTTTAGGAAATAGATGTAAAAACATTAATCTTTTATAAAATATTTGTAGTTGTTTGCAAAATTAGTTTCCAAATACTATTTCGGCAAAGGAATAATGATATGGTGAATCATCTTAGCAGTATATTTGCAAAATTAATTTCAAAAAGAAATTGTTCAATAATTGAGAAAAAAATTTCAGCTATGTGATGTTTAAAATATGTAGAAATATAATTGCATATAAAGAAATCAACTTAATTCATGTGTGTACTTAAAAAAATGCATAACGACTCTTTCGCAACTTTTGACAAATATTATTTACAAAATTTTATTTTGACAAAATTATTGCGTTATGGCGAATCATTTTAGTGCAATCATTGCAAAATCGTCGTTAGTCATGATGCTATTTTTGTGCAATATTTTCACAATTTGCCTATTAGGAAACGTGTTTTCTAATAGATTCTTGGTCACCGAAAACGAATCCGGCGACGAAATTGACTTAGCACGTCAAATTTTAGAGAAATTTGAGATTACCCCTTACGAAAAAGAACTACTACCGATTACATATAAGTAAAGTCAATAATATAAATATTACTGACAATGACATAAGAATATTATTAGATATTACAGGAATCATTGAGAATATTACTGGCAATTACACAGAATGCCAGTAATTTTTTCGTATCACTGCCGCAATATATTACTGCCAGTAGTTCTTTTTTGTAAGGGAATGTATCAAAATTGGCAGTTTTGGCTACATTTATCATATTTTTGCAGCCAAACTAAATTTTTCTTACAATTGTATTTACACCACATTAAAGTGCTATTTTTTATCTATAATGTGAATTTATATTTATTACTGTACGATTTTTTAAATATACATAATTAACATTAATTTTACATAATTAATATTAATGACATACATAATTAACATTAATTTTATTAATATTCAGGTCTCAAAAATGTGTTGAGAACAGTGTAATCAGTATATATCAACAAAAAATTTGTTTGCGTTGTAAAAATGTACTTTAAATTATATTTAAGAATAATAAGAAAAGTATTTTTATTTATTGTTGCAGGTACATTGTACTTCTATAGTTTTAATAAAATAATAATTGAAATAAATAATAAATGAAATGTAGGATAGCTTGAGAATAAATAGATAAAAATAATTATATGTTAGTAAGGAACACAAGTGGTCTCGCGGACTGAGTGCAGGGGCTGTGAATATGGAGATCTCGAGTTTAAATCCCGCTATCACATTATGAGTTTTTCAGGTGCGGTTCCTTTCAATGGAGTTCATCGGTTAATCGGCGAGCTGAATCAGGTCTCCAGAAATTAATTCTAGTGAAATCTCGAATTAATTCCCCTCCGACAAGGCAATATACCATTGGGTTTCTTTTTTTGTTTTTTAGTAAGTAATTCCACTTCCAAGTGGATTCTAGGCAACAGATCTGGTCTGCGTTTGGTAGCACTCTGTCGACGTTTCTGACGACAGATCTGCTCTGTATTTGCTAATGTTCTGTTGACAGTTTTGATAACAGATATGTTCTGTATTTGGCGATATTTTGGCGCCAACAGACGAATCCAAACCTGTTGTGGATTTGGTGCCTCACTTTGGCTTCGCTTTGCTAGTGGAAGATCTGTTACGATTTTGGTCTCGTTTTGGCATATTTACGTGTTGGACAGATTCAATCGCCAAACCATATCCTACTGAGGACACAGTAGGCTATGGTTTTGGCATTAAATTCCGCCAGCGATTTTTGACAAATCCACAACATCCCACAACCAAATTGTTTGCTGAGGCGTTATATATATTATACATAACATAACTTTAATAATAGTGATACAATCTGCCGCCACAATACTTTAAGTTCTCTATTTACTTTCTCATCTGCTTCATGTAATTCCTCAGATGGATTGTCCCATGTACAGTATGTTTCTGTTGTGACTTTGCGTATATAATCACGTCCTTTGCGAGTAATCATATACGGACAATATTCAAACCACCTTGCGTGTTGCTCCCAGGAAACATCTTTCGGATTCCAATCTCTCAATCCTCCTCCGCAATAGTAGCACAACGTCTGATCATCTCTTCTTGTGTAAAAGAAGCCCGCATTTGCTAAATCTTCTTTTGTTTGAGTTAAAGATTTCGGCCATGTTTCAAATGTGTGGATTCTAGCTTCGTAACTAGCAAACTGTGGATGTTCGATGTTTCATCTTTGATGACATCATCCGAACTAGACACAGGTATAAAAGATGTGCACACATCCATTTCTTTTGCTGAATTTGTGCTGGGATCCACACTGATAGATACGTATCCGCACAGTAAATTATTAACAAGTCGACATTGTCTGGACCATCGTTTATGATCAGCTATTAGATTGTCATTTATTTCCCACTTGCTGATTTCAAGATTACATTCAAAACATTTCACATTATCGTCTCTGCTCGTATAATAGAATCCAGCAGCTGCTAGTTTTTTCGGCTTCATCCACGAACATGGCCAATTTTTGAAGGTGACTACTTGAGAAGACTCGAAGCAATATTCCTTTTGGCAATTATCCAAACTACACTGTTTGGTCATTGTGAAATAAAGTCTCCTTTTATCTCCGTGAACTGATGTAGATATGTGAACTACGAGCTCTTATATTCTATTGTCCCCACCGCTTCTTCTAAGTTGATTGGGCAAGAGGTAGCCCTTTTTCTATTATCATTTTGATTAATTAGCAAAATAATAGTGACATAGTATGCAGGTGATATTATTGCGCATTGCGATATAACTTTATATCTTAGATACACAAGTGTATCAACGTGTTACGTACGTCAGCGCGATTCTTTTTTTCTCGTGTCACAGTAACTTGTTAAGAAAAAAATAATATGATGTAATGTAGATATAAAAATAGAGTTATTTAGTCAGTTTGATTAAATAGCAAAAAATGATAGTGACATGATGTGCAGGTGATATTACTGCGCATTGTCACGTAACTTTATATTTTTGATACACAAATACATTAACGTGTTGCGTTCGTCAGCGCCATTCTTTTTCTAGTGTCCCAGTAACTTGTTAAGAAAATAATGTAGGTACAGAAATAAAGGTATTTATTAAAATCGTTTATCTGATATTATAAAAGTAAACAATGAGACACACACACACACATACTATACATAAGTACATAATATACATTTCAACACAATACATAATATACGTAATTACATATTGTACATAGTATACAATATATTTCATTTTCTTGTCATCATTGCTCGTTCACAAAGACTTTCCCCTCTGCTTGTAACAGATTTTTATTCTCCACATATTCCAATATACACGCTCTGCAATCATAGGATGGTCCATCAATTTTAAACAATAATTTAGCGCATATCATACAGTGCATTGCCCACGGTAGAAAAACTAACGTGCTGTATAGGCAATGTGTATCTGTACATGCAACGAATAAATTCATTGGTTGTTGCTCATAACATTTCACGCACATTCGTCGTCGCGGTATGCATTATTCCAGATAAAACATTTGCACCTGTGAGTCGGCAATATGGAGGCACACACAATGAAGCAGATCATGATAGGTCTCAGGATGATCTAGTGGTCGAACATCATCGATCGGATCGAAATAATCATCCCTTTCTTCCATCTCGTTCCATTCAGCTTCTGGTGGCAGCTTCATGGTCTAAACATTATAGAAAGAGATAATAAGCTATCAGATAAAAAAAACAAGACAAGAAAACGCGAAAATGTATCAAATTAGGTACTTACGTTCTTAAGTTTACGTTGTTAAGTTCTTCTTTACGACAGTTCTTGTTTCTTCTTTACGTCGTAATAAGACTCGATTGATGTACTAACGCGAAAATAACAGAACTCTTAAATACTATTTGCCCCACCGCTTCATCTAATTTGATTGGACAAAAAGCAGCCATTCTTTAGAAACGTTTTGATTATTTAGCAAACACTGACAATTGACTGCAATATTTCGATCATAAATGGTATGTTCTTAACGCCGCATTTGTGTAACATAATTCTTTGTGATGACTAGCACGGATTATTAACACTATCAAAAGAACATGTATTCTAAATTGTACATTCACACATTATTTGGAAACGTCAAATTTGTACGTAACATAATCCGTCTTGATGAATAGCGCGATGATGCGTTCGTGATCTAACAAAGTTTATATCGTTTCTTTCGTACATGATATGTCGATATGACAGTTTGATCACGTAGGTGATCAAATATCGCATAACTGCAACACAGCAGATAAATCATTAACGCTACCGAAAGAACATGTGTTCTATTTGTACATTCGTGCAATTTTAGCAGGTTTGTATGCAACATAATCTATTATAAAAAATAGCTTCTTGCTACTTCATACGTTTTAGTTGCATACGTACTTAAATATAAAGGAATAGCACAGCTGCAGTAAAACAGATAGACTCTCAAACGTTGCAGTTTGATATATAAGGACATCATTCAGGACACAGAAAAGACACACGAATATGTTAATACATTGAAATAGAAGAGACACAGATTGTTTAACACAGTTAAAGAATGAGATAAAAAGAAGCGACTCTTGACGACTGTTAATCAGTCTCATCTAGCACATCTCAAAACATGACAAACTAAGAGATTCAAAGACATTATTTATTTTTAAATAATTTAAACATTAGTATTGCACATATTAAACGTAGAGGGACCAGCATCTTCAGTATTATCTGCAGCGTATAATCTCAAATGACTTTTCTGTTTTTTAGGACATGCAGAGTACAAATTGTTTGCTGACATTAGAGAAAAATGTTTTTCATTAATGTTTATATTTACGACTGTTTCCCTTCTCACTTTTAATGCTGATTTTATTACACAAGTAGCATTAACAGTGACAGACGAAAGTTTATTTCGTTTTTTTGTCTTTATATCTGGCAAGAAGGAAAAGATTCTTTCTGAATCGGCATTTGAATTTGGCAGCGATCTAACGGCATTTAAAAGAGACTTTAAATTGGGATATTTATGTGTACGTTGGAAAATATGTTTCCACATGTCATCAAAATTTAATGTTGACAAATAACATTTTTCTGTTTCTGTTAAACTCTGATGTAAAGCAAGCCATTCTTTTCTTAAACTATTGTCGTCAAACCCACCAAAGATTTGGGCGACAAAAGAAACGTCATTAAAAGAAGCTTCTCTATTACTATCATATAAAGCTATGTTTGATTCAAAAACTTTTAATTTTGATAAAAATATGTCGTTTATTGGTAATTTTTTACAAATATCTTGGGCTGCAGTAACGTAAAATTGCAAACAATTTTCTCTAACATTTGCAACTACGTTTGCGTGCCCTTGTTCAATTAATGCTTCAAGATATTTTTTACACTCATTTCCTAAGTTTACTTCGCTTAAAGATTTATGATTTTCTTTACTGGAAAAATCAAAATTATTATTTATATTACGTAAAACCTCTGGATGTAAAAAATGTTTACATATAATATTTAGCAATTCGAGTGATTTTGGTTGTAGTTTTTGTATGCTTGTTTCTAGAGCTTGAACGAATGCGTTAAAACAATTAAAGAAATGTAAAATATGTTTTAAAAATAATAAATATGCTTTTACATCAGGTTTGTGCATCACAGATAATAAATTTTGTCCAGTCTGCGTTTTATCACTTACTACTATTTCTGTTAAAAAATTATTAATAGTATCCCAAGATTTTAAAATTCTTTCAATGCACAAATGTCGAGAAAGCCATCGTGTGTCGCACAACTTTAGAATTTTGGTGTTTGTTTCTTCAAAACATTCACCAAATTCTTCAAAAATAGCAGATCGCTTTGGACTACTATTAATAAAACTTGCTACTTTTTTTACGAATTCCTCGCAATAGTCTGGAATCTTATTGCATACAGCATTAGCAATGAGCGCAGAGACATGACAAGGGCATGGAAATGTTAATAAATTTTTGCACATTGTCTCAAGCTTTGTTTTAAATGACAAATATTTGCCCGTCATAACAGACGCGTTGTCACACGACAAGGCGACAATGTTTGAAAATGGAATTTGAAGTTTCCACATTTCACATTTAAATGCATCAAATAATTTGTCTGCGCTGCAATCTTTTGCATCGATATCAATTAATTTGACTAATTGCGAGGAAATATCTAATGTTTCGGGATTAACATACCGAACAAGAAACGTCATCCATTTCTGATTAGAAATATCTGACGTTTCATCAATAAAAATAGTAAATTTTGTATTTTGAATAATGTCAACTACACAGTCCGTTTCAATCGGACATAACACGTTCGAAATAATCTTTTGACATTTCATTCGACCCATTGACATCCTTTGTAATACATTGACATCTTTTCCTATTTCTTGGAAGAATTTTAAAATTTCTGGCGCAGTATGAAGCGAAATATTGTGTTCGGCAATAAAAGCAGCAAATTTAATTTCCGCTGCTTTCTTTTGCTCTTCGAATGATAAAGTTTCGTCTGTCATAATTACATCTTCATCTGTTTGTTTTTTTCCAATATACTTTTCTTTAGTTACATGTGCTGCGGATTCTGCGTGATCATAAATATGTGACAATCTTGCTGACATATATTTGTCACAAAATGAGCAGAAAAATAACTTATTGTTATGCAATACTTCGCATAACCATGGTTGAAATTGTTTCATTTCCAACCATTGTTTTTGAAATTTATGTGTATCTGAAGTATTCGGTTTTACATTCACATCATTATTTAAGGAAACACATGTATTTTCTTTTATATTATTTTTATGACACAAAGAATCCGCATGTCTTGAAATGCGCGTGTTACAAGAAAAATCTTTATTGCATATAGTGCAATGAAAAAGACTATCATTTGACGATATTTTCCGTATCCAAGATTTATATCGATCATCTGTAAGCCAAGCTTCTAAAAAGCTTCGCTTTGATTTTTTTTGTGAATCGCACATTTCAATATACGACAAAACGACAAAAAACAAAGAATTAAATTAGAAGAATGAAAAGAAAAAAGAGAGAGTAAGTTTAATGACTTACTTTGAAATCAGTTTCCTGACTGACGTTACAATTAAATCGACCGAGTTAAACGTACAGGAAATANGTTGACTTTCAAGAAATTCACGTAGTGATTTCAATCAATCTAATAGTACAAGTATAATCAGATTGATATCACAGTTAATAAGTATCACAGATTTCATATAAATAATATACGAAATAGATAACAATGACCCACAACTCTTCAGTGCACAATACACCACAATACACGATATACGCAATTATCACGGAAAACGAATGCAGCGCACAGCGTGGCAGCGACATATGGGTAATTCTTTTACAAACCGAACACCATTCTGACCGACCCATTTTTGATTTAGCTGAAACTTTTTTTACGGGTTCTATATCGAAAAAAAAGAGACACCTGTTCGAGGAATTTTTTTTTTTTTT